TTTATAAATGTATGAATAACATGGTGAAAATATGACTTTGAAAAAAAAACGTTTTTTTTTTCTTATGAAAGGATAAATAAACCAAAATATTGCTGTTAATTTTTGACTGAGTAAGTTTACAAACTGGACCCCATACAACACAGTCTGGGAGAAAATTAGAGGCATCAAAAAATATTTTAAAAAGCCAGGAATGAGTTGGATGAGAAGAGTGTCAGTCCTGACTCCTGAGTTCAGAGGCTGTCGGTGGCCACGCTGGTGACCTGTGGCTGCACTCTGTTCCTGCAGCCGAAGAGCCAGGCCGCCCTCCTGTGGCGATAACGCTTAGACAGCAGCACATACAGCACGGGGTTGATGCTGGGGTGCAGGTACTGCAGCATAGTGCAAATAAAGTAGAACATATCCCAAGCATGCCCCTGCCGATACAGGCCCAGGTACACACACAGCTCCAGCACATAACCAGGCAGCCAGCACACTGAGAAGGTAGACGCTGCCAAAAACACCATGACAGAAGCTCTGCGAGTGTTCCTGGCACTGGACAATGACATTACAGGGCTCTTGTGGAGAAACACTGCCAGGCGCACATAGTTGAAGGCGATGACGAGCATTGGAACAAAGTAGTAAAGTACAAACTGGCTTAGGACCACTTGGTAGTGGTGCTCATGAATGGTTGGAAGGCAAAAGCTGAAGTTTGCCAGGCTGGGGTTCAGACTTTCCTTGGTGGCAAACATTCGCAGAGGCAAGCTGACGAAGAAACTCAGGCCCCAGACCAAAACAAACATGAGGATTACCAGATCCATGGTGGGCGGCTGGTAGGGGTTTGTGATGATCATGGCTCGAGTCATGGACACGGCACACAGGGAGTACGTGCTGGCTGCCAGGCTGAACGCAAGCAGGAACTGATAGACCTTGCAAGAGGTTTCACCGAGAGGCCAAGAGTAACTCACAGCTGAGTGGAGGGTCAGGGGAATGAGTAGGAGGGTCAGGAAGTCGGCTAGAGTCATGCTCAGGAGGAGGATGTCCAGGCGATTCTTACGTAATGTGTTGTTCTTAGCAAACAAGGAGAAGACCAGCAGGTTGGCGCACAGCCCAATGCCCATAATCACCCCACAGATGCAAGCAAAGATCACGCCATAGGTGTTGGGAACAGCCATGTTCTCGTCAGCCTGACACCTGACAAAAATATTTTAAAAGTCAGTCTCAGTTTCACATCTGAGGTAAAATTAAACATTTAATACTTCAACTTTTACAAGCAATATAATGTGCTTTTCTTTATTTGAATGTGAGGAGGAAAACATATTATTGGTATTTTGCAGCACAATCCAGACACTTTCTATACAAAAATACAGCTTTTGATTTAGATTTCTGTAACACTGTACATGTAAAACAACATATTGCTCCGTAGAAGTACTGAAATGTCAATAAGTTGTTAGAGACAGATGCTTATGTTTCATACGACTAGTCAAACGCTTGATTTTCTTATCTAAGATACAAACAGTTAATCAGTTGAACCCAAGGTAAACGAGAAATGTTACTGTATGTTTCTACTGATAGAAGTCGACAGAGACAGGTGTTTATCTTAACAAAATATTTAAAACAATCAAATGCTGCCTCGTTGATGATTTTTGCCGTATTTACCATCGTTGTTCCTCAGTTGCCTCCTCCTCGATGTGTTTTAACTAAGCACATTGTATGGAGCGGATCGTTTTATTTGTGTCCTGGTAATCCGTTCTGGACGCAGCAGAGGCGGCCGCCTCTCACGACTCATTACCAAGTGTGAGAGCTGAATGTGGAGCAGCACAAAGCAAACATTACCTGGGCCAAATTGATTCTAGTTGACTAGATTTAAAGAGGAACGGCCCCCGCTGTCCAGCTGCTGACAGAACAGCAACAGGGTCATAGCTGACCATCTGGTTTACAATACTGCAAGGTTTATACACCATTTATAGCTGTGAAAATATATTGGCATTTTTCTTTATATCTCATTTTTGCATACACTGTTAAAGCCTGAAATCACTGTAACATATTTGCTATTGTATAATAAAATGGGGGTAAATGACTCACATTAATGACTCAGAAAAGTTTTCTAGAATCATCATTTTACTGCATTATCTATAAAATGTGAGCATGCATATACAAATCATTTGAAAGATAAGCTATAAATGACGTGAATTTTCACATAAACTACACGGGGGTAATTTAATTTGCTTTTAAGATGCAGACTACATCTGTTTTTAATAATTTCATCATATAAAAATCAGTATTTCTCACTAAATTAAGAGAAGTAGCAATATTTATTTACAAACAAAACCAAAGCCACTGTGTGGCTCTTTGCAAGTACTCACAGGATGATATGAACCGTGGTAAACTGGTTTACAAATATTAAATTATACTCTGGTTTGTGCCCCACTCTGAACATCTGCATAGATGTGTGATTTCACTTACACTATGAATCCACGGTGTCCTCATCCCTCCACCACATTCAGCGATATTAATGTTTCTCCACATTGCTCTGATTGATTTCTCCAGTTTGATCTGCAGGCTCCTCTTTATCAGGCTTTTTTCCACAGCGTTTATGGCTCTGTGTCAGCTAATGGTCTGCTGCTGTTAGCACAGGATATAGCTGACGTTGACGTATTTGGTAACCATTACCATATCTGTGTCTTTCATGCAGCGGCTGTTCACATGTTCTCCAGTTCTCGAGCAAGAGCATCCATCTCAGTTATTTATCACGTTATTTTTAACTTTTCAGTCAAAGTTTAACTTGCACAGCAGAAAGTGGCCAACTTTGGTTTGTGGCTTGTAGTTGGTCTATTTTGTAGAAAATGTTCTTCTGAGTTGCTACATTGGAAAAACATTTTAGGGAGATGGTTTAAGAGTTTTTAGATGATTACAAGTTTTGAGCACATTTAGCAGATCTGGTCAAAGGATGTTTTTTGATGTTGAACATTTTGAATATACCAAAGTTGTTACCAATCTGTGCTACACATTGCTATTGTCAACACTGACACAGTTTAGATGTCTGATTGTGGGTAAAAGATCTATTCTTTAAAGAAACAAGACATTTGTCTTTTAGTATGACAGCATAACTATGTGGTTAATCAGAGAATCATTAGTTGAGGTCTATCTGATGTCAAAACATCTGGAACTGGGCAAGTTAAGTCTGCGCTAGCTAGCTGATCTACTGCGAATAAGCATGTGCAGTTTTTGACAACAACAAGTGTCTGATTCATTGCTATTGTTTTGTTTGTTTGTTTGTTTTCTTCTTCAGGGGTTGCCACAGTGAAATAACTCACATGAAGACGTGGCATTTGTTTTTACGCTGGATACCCTTCCTGACACAACCACAGACACCGAGCTACCACAGCCCTCTGTGTGGAGCAGAGAGCTGCTATCTAAGATACCTGGAGGAGCAGATAGTGGGGGTTAAGTGCCTTGCTCAAGGGCCCAGAGTGTAGCAAACGAGGGAGTTGTGGGTGCTTTACCTTCCCCACCCACATTTTAATGTTATCGGTCCAGGAGTTGAACCGGTGACCTTTTAACCACAGACCCACCTTCTTTAACCTCTGGACCACCACTCCCAACCTGATTCATTACTTCTTTTTTATGTTTACATCCAAAAGTGAATTATTTTCTGTCCTTGCCAAACAAATCCTTTTTCACAACTCAACAGAATTTTAAAAGCATTTGGCTCTAAAAAGCTTAAGTTGGAGGCGGTGGTTCTCAGGAAAGGGTGGAGCACTCCTTCCTGGTCAGGGATACGTCTGAGCAGTAAGTTTATGTATCTTGGAGTCTTGTTCATAAGTAACGGTAGGATGAAGTGGAAGATAGACTGACAGATCTGGGCCTTGTCTGCAGCTATGAGGGTTTTGTGCTGGTCTGCTGTGAAAGAGTAGGAGCTGAGTTGAAGGCAAAGCTCTCAGTTTGTTGGTTCATCAACGCTCCAACCTTTAGCTATGGTCATGAGGTGTGAATCATGACTGAAAGAACAAGATACTGGATACCAGCCAGTGGAATGAGCTTCAAGTGTCAATGGGACAAGAGATGGGTTGCACTCCTGGACCTGAACCCTTCACAACATGGATAGGAGAAAACAAGAAGATGGATGGATGGACTGTAAAATAATTGAAAAATAAACTAATTGTTATTGCTAAGTATTTCACCATGACTAAATTATTCAACCTCATTTAGTCAGGTGTTTTACTTAAACTGGTCATGAATGCTGCGTACGGCTACAAGACATTGGGTTGGAAAATAAAGACACCATGAATCAAATTAGATCTACATCTATTGGATATATTTTATTGTTTGATTAACTGGAAACATGTACAGCATTCCCTCAGTGCATGTCCAGAACTGACTTGGGCTTATTTCCAGAACAAAATAGATAAACTCATGTAAAACAAAAGAGTTGGTCTGATGATGTGTCCAATAAGTTATGAGTCCATGAGGCATCTGAGGTGAAAAAGGAAAGTAGTACCATCAACAAGAGTCACTAAATTAAAACTCAACCACAAAAGAACATATACAGGATGTAACTAAAGTGCATAATGGAATTCAGTCAGCAGCACCACGATACATTCACAAAATAAATATAGATTTTCATAGTGAAATAAATTATGGCCGAACCATTTGGACAGATGTATCAGTTTGTCATAACTCCAAGTCCATGATAAGCAACACAAATAGAGCCAAAAGTAAGCTGGTCTCTTTTTTTTTTTCCTTTTTGGTTGTTTTACACAAGAAATAAATACTTCCTCTTGTGCTCTATCTGTGTGCACACCTGGTTAGAAAATACAATGAACGTCTTTGTTGTAAAGGACATCCAAGTAACAGAGGTGTGAAGATCTTCCAAATAAATATGGACTCTAAAAGATGTCAACGTCAGGAAGTTGAAGAAACAAAAATACATTATCATACAAGCACAGCCCTGGTGCCATGAACAGTCTGCAGGTATCAGTCAGTGTGTAGCAGTGTCTTAGTGCAGCACCCAATAAAAGGTCCTGGCGAGTCTCTGAGCCCGGTTTGGGGTCCCTCATGGCCCCACTGTAAAGACAGACCGCGCTCGCCTCCTTTTCTTTTCGCTGTCTCTGCGCCGGCCTAACCTCACCTTTTTTTTCCTTTTGGTGGCAACTTTCAGGGACTGGTCCTTAAAGGCCATGGCCTTGTTGGTCTCCTGGGGGAGGTTAGGGTCGTCCCCGTCCGCACTGAACTTCTCAGGCAGGTCTTTGGTGGCCCCCGAGGGCTTTTGGAGTAAAGTTTTTACACTGAAAGTCTGACTGGTGGTCCTGCTCTGCACAGGCGGTGCAGGCTTATCTGCCGTGTGCACTTCCTCCAGCAGCTCCTGCAGCCACATGCGGCGCCTGAACTCCTGCATGGAGCGGCTTTTGTCGTGCATCAGCTGGGTGTGGCTCACAGACCTCCTCCTTGCAGAAACAGTGACAGAAAGAGCAGTTACCACAGAGAAACTGTTGGAAAAACTCCTCACTCTTCATTAAATACTCATTTTAGTCCATTTGACCATCACTATCATGGTCCTTAACTCAAAAGGTGATTGATGAATTTGGCTAGAATTTAAATTAATATCACAGCATTGAGTTTGTGTGTGGACTATCTAAAAAAGAGCTGAAATTTAAGGTCAGGATTCAGTCAAGCTTGGTACAGTAGGTGGCAGCACAAACATGTCTGAGAGCCGTCACTCCTCTGAGTCAAAGATCAAACTGAAAACAGGTCTTTACAAAAAAAATCTGTTATTGGAATAAAAATAAATAAAAAAAACACAAAATTAATCAACAACTTTGTATGAAATCTCATATTTTTAAGTAAACAATGCTTCGATTTTAGCGCTCGTTGTAGGCTACTGTCCTTATTTCACAATGTTTGTAAGAAATGACTCACGCTCTGTTAATAAGTGCATCAACTGGTCTCCTTTCAAGAGTCATGGGGAAGCAGAGCAAGAACACAGCCAGAATCCACTGATAGAGCAAATTTAAAGAGGACATACTTGAGCCAAACACCTAAAAAACACAATAATATTATCAGTCATTTATTTATTCACTCAAACACATTTCATGCCTTCATGATGTCTCTTTTACAATAAATATTTATGAATCAAGTTTATTAAAATGTTTAAAAAAAAAACAAAAAAAAAAAAACAGGTGGTTTCACTTACAAGAAGTTGTTGTTTGTGTTTCCAGTGAAAATCCACAATAAGGTCCAAGTTGTTCAAATGTTTTCTTCAGCCAAAAATAATTTACAGATCAATAATTATTCAGCCAAAGGCAGTTTGGTCCATTCAGAACTTTGTTTCCAGATCCTTTGGTGTGAATGAAAATCCCCACGAGTCTCCTCCATTCATTGAGCTATTTATTTCTCCCTGGAGTCCAAACATAAAGACAGATAAAGATAGAGCAGCAGCCCATCAGCTGCAGAGCTGCTACTCCGCTCCGTTCTGCAGGAACCTCATGAAGAGTCTCACTGAAGCATCATCTCTGGTGGCCCGAGCCGAGAGCAGAGCTGAGAAAACTCAGCAGTCCGGTGCTGGGAGTGAGCCCGTGTGGGGGAGAGAAAGTTAAACTCCACTTTAGGTGAAGATGCGTGCACCACCTCAACCCCTATCCTGGCTTTACACCCTCCCCAACCTTCCAACCCTCACTTCTGCCCCACCCCTCCACCCTACAGACACACCTGCTGCATGGAGAAGCTCTCCTCTGCAGCACACAACAAACAGAGTGCTAAACACAAACAGGAGTAAATAAATGTGTATGCACTTTTAAATTCAAATCCCTAAATAAGACAAGTCATTCCTAAATGGTTAAAAATCCTGGTCTAATAAGGTGTGCATTAACACAAGTGGTCGTGAGTTACCCAGTGAAGAGTGAACAGTTTAAGGGGAGGGGTGGGGATACTCCAAGGTAAACACCCAGACCTTAACCACTTTCCCAGGAGAGAATGACCATAACCTCAGAGAAACCCAACCCACAGCCTCTCACTGCAGACCATTCAGTCCTACCTCAGTGAACCAGCTCACCACCAAATGGTCACGGTGGCTTCTGAGGAGACTCTCATATTCATCCAATAAAGGGAGAGAGTAGAACTTCACATTTAGGGAGCTGTTTATAACCCTAGGTGTTGAGTAAATCCTAAATTAATATTTAAGTGTTACCTCAGATTGTTTGAAGTGGGAATCAGTGGAAAGGTTATGAACACTTATTATCTTACCTGCTGTAGATAATGCTTTGAACTGACTCAGTTTGAAAAAAAAAAGTAAACCTGTTTCATTCTGACTAAACTGATTTGCTAACTGCTAGTCCAAGCAAAGCCACGACCAAATTTCATTGGTGTCATCATAAAAACAACTCCAGTCCCCAAATTTATAGTGGTTCCCCCCCAAACTGTAATTTATAAATGTTGCATTATTATTAATTTTCTTTAACACAAACTAGCCAGGCAGCATGGTGTGCAGTTGGTGGAGCTGTTGCCTCTCAGCGAGCAGGTCACCCCAGTTCAAATCCTGGCTGGGGGTCTTTCTGGGTGGAGTCTGCATGTTCTCTCTGTGCATGTGTGGGTTCTCACCGGGTACTCCAGTTTCCTCCCACAGACCAAAAACATGCATGTTAGACTGACTGGTAACTCTAAATTGTCTCTAGGTGTGAGTGAGAGAGTGAATGGTTGAAAACAAAAACATGCATGTTAGTCTGGCTTCAGGCCCAGGCCTCCATTGCAAAATAGATCTGTGATCTCAGTGTGATTTATCTGGTTAAATAACGGTTAATAAAAATAGTAAAAATAAATGGTTGTTTGTCTCATTTGTCTCTATGTGTTCCTGTGATTGACTGGAGACCTGTCCAGTGTCCAGGGTGTACCAAACCTCTCATAGAGTGGTAGCTGGACATGGGCACCAGTGACCCCCGTGACCCAAAAAGGAAGAAGTTGGTAAAGATGATGGATGGATTAACTAGACAATAATTCATCCGCCAATTACATATTTCTAAGATAACATAAGGTCGTTTTCACACCTGATAGTCCGGTAGACTTGGTTCTATTGGGGACCAATATTCAGAGTTTACATTTTCAGCTGGTGCGGTTCACATTCTGCACTGAGTCAATCGAGCCGACACAGAAACAAGGTAACAACACGAAAACCTCTGAAGAAGACATTGAGCGCAACGTACTCCTGGAAATAAAAACAAAAATGGAGTGGCGTCAAATTTGAGTGGTTTTAGGATTTCAGTTTTGTCTGTGGTTCATGTGCCAAACAAACATTTTTCAACAATGGACTTAGCATGAGTGGAAGATGAGGCAGAAGACCATGGAGAATGTTGTTTTTCACACAAGGCGGCTGACAGCTTTGTATGAGGTAAGAGAAATGCAAGTTTGTTTTGGTTGTATTTGCCCAGAATGCCCTGCACTGTAGTCCACTTCCTGCTTTTGGAGCGTTCTACGGTCCGCTTGCATTCACACTGCATTCAAACCGCTCTAGAGTTCACTTCAACCGAACCGAGACCTAGGTTTTAGGGTGCATTCACACCAACCCTGTTTAGTCCACTTTAATCGAACTCTAGCTTGTTTTCCTAGAAAGTCCGGTTCGTTTAGGGAGGTGTGAATGCGCCATCGAACTCTGTCACGGAACAAAAAGGCGAACCCTGGCCCGGGCTAAAACCTAGGTCTTGGTCCGGTAGAAGAGAACTCCAGCGCGGTTCGAGTGCAGTGTGAATGTAAACAGACCGGGCCCCGCTCCACAAGCAAGAAGTGGAGTACAACGCAGGGCAAACAAACATGCATTTCTCTTACCTTATATGGAGGCGTCAGCTGCCTTGTGTGGAAAAACAATATTCTCCATGGTCTTCTGTCTCATCTTCTGCTCATGCTAAGTCCATTTTTGAAAAATGACAAAATATAACTCCTAAAACTGCTAAAACTTGATGCCACTCCGTTTTTGTTTTTATTTACAGAAGAAGAAGAAGACATGTCTTCAGAGGTTTTTGTGTCGTTTCTTTCAGTAGTTTTTGGTGCAGCGCCCCCACAGGCGAGCGGGGGAACAGGTTGGTTCAACAGGTTGACTCGACTGCACAGTGCAGTGTGAATGCAAACGCACCAGCTCAAATGTAAACAAAAGCTCATGAATATTGGTCCAGAACCGAACCGAGTCTACCGGACTATCAGGTGTGAAAACAACCTTAGGTGGACCAGAGTTCGCTTTTTTGGTCCACATCAGAGTTCAATTGCACATTCACACCTCCACAAACAAACTGGACTTTCTAGGCAAATGGACCAGAGTTTGATTAAAGCGGATTAAACAGGGCTGGTGTGAATGCACCCTTAATCAAGTTAAAGCTCAGAAGTCTAATGACAGAGGAACGTCAGCAACAAAAAGTTCAGGTATTTTTAGGGTCACAGTGTTTAAATCCTGCAGGAGTGGTGGGTTCAGCAGCAGGTGTAAGTGGAAATGTGGATGTTTTTATTTTTTAACTGTTTAATCCATACAAAAATGTTTTCTTACATGTTATTTGAGGTGCTGTGTAAAGTCAGTGACAGATGGCTCAGTTCACCTTTGTCCAGCCCCATCTTCAGGTGACAACTCTGTTTCATCTGGTGTTTTTGGTTTAAAGAGGATATTTGCTAAATTTGTGTCATTCTTGCTGGTCTCTGCTCATTTTTAGTGCTTGGTTTACCTTTAACCTGTCCAAAGAGTCCAAACTCAACTGTACTGTAAAATTAAGCAACAAATTGTGTGTTGGGGCCATGACTTTAGATGTTTTACATTTATTTATTTCAAATTTTGTTGCTTCAACAATAAAAGTTTTCATTATTTTTTCTTGAGTTAGTGATGAAACATAATGATGTGTCTATTACAAACACACACTTCATTTTATTTTTCTCTGTAATCAATATGCATTTGCACTGCTAATTCAATTCAATTCAATTCAGTTTATTTCTATAGCGCCAAATCACAAAAAAGTTGTCTCAGGGTACTTTACAGAAACATTCACATACAGAAAAGCCAATTAGTAAAGTTCTCTCTAAGGATTCCAGCAGACAAGTTGAATCTTGGCTTCATTGCAGTCTCCCATCCTGAGCAAGCACAGTGGCAACAGTGGAAAGGAAAAACCTCCAGCAGAACCAGGCTCAGGACAAGCGGCCATCTGCTTTGACCAGCTGGTTGAGAGGACAGGAAGGAGAGACAGACGAACACAGAATGGTAGGTCCAGGTGTAGGTCCAGGTGTATCTGAAAGACAAAAAAACACATTTTAAGGATAGAAACAATAATTACAAATACAAAACAGGTTGAGCAGAGTAAGTAAAGACAGTAGTAGAGTGAAAATTGTGGTCAGTTTGTGCTCCAGCAGTCTAAGCCTATAGCAGCATAACTAAGGGACAGCTCAGGCTAATCATAACATAATCTGTCTAAATAAAGGTTGAATGAATGAATGAATAATGACTGCCCACCTAAGAATGGCCTGTTAAAACCCGTTAAATTTGCTTTTACACCCGACCAAAACATGTTTGCCATATTTTGCTTTTGTTGGCAGGAGATACGCTAACTCTAGTAAAATCAGAGGTAAACCTTTACGTATCTTATTTGTCTCATGGATGATTGATTGGAAGGAAATTTGGGAAACTTTGAGGTCAGATGAAGGCACTGAAGTCATTATGCTTCTCAAACCATGCTGAAATGAGTTTAGCAGTGGGACAGGGTTTTATTATTCTGCTGAACTGCCATCAGTGGTTCCTGTTTCCACAAGGGGATGTAGTTGGTCGGCAACAATGTTTAGGTAGGTGGTATGTGTAAAAATAGCATCTACATGAATGACAGGACCTAAGGTTTCCCAGTAGAAGGCAGCTCAAACATCACATCGCCCCCACCTACGTGTTTTTGTCCCTCGTCACAGAGCAAAAAGGGGAACTTGAAAATACCCTTTGTCAGGCCATCTGTTGGTCTGTGAATGCTGTGAGCACAAAAACTTGGAAAAAAAGTGAGGTACTGACTTTTTCCTTTCA